GGATTATCAGGATTTTGTGGTGATCTGCAAAGACTCAGCAGGGAATCATTCAGCTACACAGTAACAGGAAATGGCTCTGATTTCCCACCCAGTGAGAGTTGGTGTTTTTAAATGAAGATTTTTTTTTTCAAGCAGAAATGATTTGAACATTGTCAATGTCTGTGGAAAGGTTATGAACAGTTAATATCTTACCTGTTGTAGATAGCTTTTTGAAAGACCTCAGTTTGATTCTGAAAGTTGAATTCTGCCGTAGAAAAAGTGACCAATATAAATGCAGTGAAAGGCAGATTATTCATGGCACATTTCTCTGGCTGCTGGTTACTTTTAAACCCAGTGCAATAATCATCATACATTACGGGAGATCTAGTTTATAGTCAATGCTGGCTTTAAAGCAACATATGCGCTTATTCTAAAACATTAATAGACCTTTAAACAGAGTTGTAAAATAACTAAGTACAAAAATACTTTGTTACTGTACTTAAGTAGAAATTTTGGTTATCTGTACTTTACTTGAGTAATTATTTTTCAGCCTACTTTTTACTTTTACTCATTACATTTTTACACAATTATCTGTACTTTCTACTCACTACATTTTTTAAAAAGGTAAGAAATAGAAATTTGTTACTCCTATTTTATTCCAAGTTGTTATTACTTAAAAAAATTTACCATCCTGATAAGTTGTCTCCTGGATAGAGTGAATTTAATTGTGGTTGGATGAGAAGTATAAATATATATCATTCTGATACCCTATTAGCTTGTACACAACCCATCACAGCTGCACGCCGTTACAAATTTTTTTGAGAAGTCACCTCCCAATAAATGTCATCTATCAAATCTAACTGCTCAGTTTTACTCAGTACTTTTTCTTTTAATACTTAAGTAGATTTTGTGTCAGAAATTTACTTTTGATACTTAAGTACAAAAAATATCAGATACTTTAAGACTTTTACTCAAGTGGTATTTTTTAGAGAAGACTTTAACTTTTACCAAAGTATTTTTAYGATAAGATACTTGTACTTTTACTCAAGTATCACTTTGAGGTACTTTAAACAACACTGCCTTTAAAGCTCTTGCGGGCCACTTAAAATGCCATGGAGGGTCATATTTGGCCCGCGGGCCATGAGTTTGACACTTGGAAAAAAGATCTTTTGAAGAATTGCTTTTAAACATTTGAGATCTTCTAAAACAGCAACAATCCATCTTTGTCTTGGTCCAGCTTAGACGATCCATCAGTCCAACTCTATTTCTCCAAACAACAGGTAAGATAATGAGTGTTTATAACCTTTACAAGGAACCCCATATCATTTTAAAATGGCTTGAAAGCAAAAAAGCAAACAAAATTGATATATTTAAGATAAAGAAATATAAAAATTAAGAAATATGATTTTAAAATCAATTGGGGCAGCTTTGGCCCAGTGATGTGTGAATTATTAACATTGTACCTAAAACACATTGCAGCGCCTGTAGGTTAAAAATATGCCACATAAGTGCCAACCAATCACTATTTCTCTTATTAAAGACAGTCAGACAAGGATGTATCATTGGGCTTCACTTCACTGAGGCCTAATTAGGCCTTTTCATATCTGCGGTCTTCTCCCATTTCTGAGACCACCTCCAAAACAATGAACAAAATGTGGAGAACACGGACCACTGGGAGGTGACCTTGATGTTAATTTGACAACTACGTTTTTTTTTAAACTACTCATCTGGAGCAGTTGTGTCAACAAGCTGAAAGCTTGTAACAGGGTGCAGCTCTTCCTGAGAAAAACCTGCAGTTTATTTTACTGGGAGAGCCTCTCTCCTTCCCCGTCAGAGCATCGGTCTGAGGCATCGTTCCATGAGCTGAAAACTGACCCAGCTCAAACTCAGGAGGGTATTCGACATGCCGGGAAGTCTTCGTATGGTGAAAATGTTCATCGAGACCACAAGTACAGAAAGAAAAGTCATTTACGGGGGCGAATGTTTCTAAAGCGTMAAGCAATTTCTGCTGATGGACACAATTTGTGCATCTCAGCGTGACTTTGAATGTAACCCAGTGAGAGCTCTCTTTAGCTGAAAACTTTTAAATAAAGAACAAAATTCAATCTTTTCATCACTTACGTGGTTAGTATTTTACCAGGTATGTGTGAAAAATCACTATTTTTCCAAAAAACTTTTTCGCAAATGTTCCTCTGTCTAGTGTCCATAAATAATCAGTGCAATAAAGGAGAAACCGGACAATTATTTCAACACATTCAGTATTAAAAGATGATGGTCATTTCAAGGGTTTTTAAAGAGACAGCTGTTAAAATAAAACTAACAAAAAGTAGGTAMATGTGTGTTTGGTAGAATGTTTCTTAAAACAGATTTTCTAAGCAGAACCTCGAAATACCTGGACAGGTGACTGACCTCATCTTTGAAGGTAAAGCTGGCTGTTATGAACTTCGCGGTCTGGCTGAACGCCGAGCAGAGAACGCCTCACCTCTCTGGTTATTCCACATTATTTAAGTTAAAAGTTAGGAAAAGCTAACATCTTACTTCCTCCTTTTCTTAAAGCCTATTTTGCCCACTAAGTAATTTGCCTCAAATGTCTGGTATTGAACATCTAAAGCTTGACGTTTGTGTTCTATTAAAGTGCCTGTGGTTGACAATTAACATGCTCGAAGCGCTTGTTATTGTTGGTCCTAATACTTTTATAGGAAATTTATTGCCCATAATTTAGTGTACTGTAGTGGTTTTGTCTGATTTGTAAAACAAACGATAGCATTTGTTTATGGATCAAATCAAAATTCACTGACTCACATAACTTGTGTGTCCATTCACTTTGCACTGGAAGAATATTTTACCGAAAACAAAGAGATCCTTGCTAAAATATATTCCTTATAACCTTGTTATAAGAGTGTAAGGTTAAATCCTTACAAATGGTCCCTACAGTTGTAACAATGCTTTTTGGAAAGCCTGTTTCCATGTTAAAGGCACAGTGTGTAGGATTTGTTGTTTTCAGTGACATCTAGTGGTTGAGTGGTTGAATCATCCTCCCTGGTCCTCCCCCCACCCCCACACCCCCGCTTCCAAAC